TGGAGTAATTGTGGTTTTTTGGCCTTCTAAATTTCTTAAAATTTTTAGTTTGACTTATAAATAGTGAATTTTTTTGCTTATGGCCTTCATAAATTTTCAAAAGTTTCGCCTGCGGCGCTGAAAACTTCTTGTCACTCACAGATTCTCAAAATTTTTCGCCTGCGGCGCTTAAAAAGAAGTTGAATGTTATATCGGAGGATTTGGATGGATTAATTGGATTTTGATTATATCATGATTTCAAACGGTCATAGGTAATATCGTGGATTTGGGTGTGATATCGAGAAATTGAGTAGGTAGATATGGGATTTTCTTGCAATTCAGAACCTTTTTATCGCCCGATATCAAACAGTTATATCCGACAAATCCGTTTATACACCACTCTCTAATCCACTTATATCACTTAACGACGACAAATTTTCGGCTCGGTTTTGTTAACCAAGTTTCTATTCGGTTAGACGGTTCGGTTTCGGTTAACCGAAAAATTTGGCGAAACCTACAACCCAAATCAAAATGCAAATTTTTTAAAATTTGCTAGCAAAAAAATTTTTTTTAAAGTTCCGGTTCCGGTTCCGGTTCCGGGCCGGAACTTAGAAAAGTTCCGGTTCCGGTTCCGGGAACCGGAACTTAAATTGGATCCGGTTCCGGTTCCGGTTCCGGTCAAAATTTCGGTTCCGGTGAAACACTACTATCTAGAGACTTACATTATTAAAATCAAATTATCGAATAAATCTTAATAAATTTAAGTATAATTTAAGGTCAACTTTGATAGATTGGAGCATCACCAGGATGAGCACCGAAGTTTGGATGTTGAAAATTTGGTTGAAAATTTCGTTGCTGATTTGCCTGAGGATTTGATGATTCTTAATATTTTAATAATTAATAAAGCATTTAATTATAATTTGAATTTACCACCTCCTTCATAGACGCAATATGTTAAATTAAATAAAATATAAATAAAGAAAAGAAAAATAACAAATTTTGATAATTTCATCTTTTAAAAATTATGTAATAAAAATTAATTCCTTGCAAAATTTCGACCGTATAGATTTTTAACTAATGTAAAATAAAAACTAATTCAGGAAAATTAAAATTTGGAGCCAAAATTGAATTTGACATCAAATCTTTTCTCCTTAAGTCTTCAGGTTTTATGAATGCAGTCAACATTGTAAATGCCGCAAAAATGAGGCAAATTTTTCAAATATAGGCACACTACAAAAATGTGAGTTTATAAATTTATTCTCAATCACATCGCTTATAAGTAACTCTCTCCCTTTAATAGAAAAAATAATAAAATAATAAAAAATAGTTTAATTAAGAATTTTAAAGAGGCATGATATTTTGTTGTAAATATCTCCTCATTCTCCATATTTCTCTTACAAGACTTTTATATAAGTTAGTGTTAAGAGGAAAGATAACGCGCGACAACGTGTATTAAATCGCTAACAACTTTACAAGCATTGAATTCGATTTTGAATCACGTGTATTTCTTTCATCATCTCTCTATTTCCCTCTATCGCAAGCACTGACAAATAAATTTATATAGCAGAGAGAGTTTGTAAAGCGGGAATATCAAAAATCAGAAGTTTCAAAAATTCTATCAAGTCTTAAGTGGCAAACATTATAAGCTAATAAAAATTTAAATAGGAAATCGATGAAAAATTTTAGAATTTTAAGATGGAAATTGAATAATTATTCATAATTCTGAAAAATTTTGAGTGATTAATGGCTACTAATAGAATTGTACTGATTGAGATAATTTGGAGGGATTAAAGCTATGTCTAGGTATATAAGGAAATTTGGGTGGTTTCTAAGAATATAATTGGTTTAAAGGATATTGAAAGATTATAGTAGCATATACAAGGCCAATATGCTACCCATATGCCAATGGCAAATTTTAATTTGAAGTCTAGAAAACATCTATCTTAAATTCATTTGACTTTAAGGAGGAATAAAAGAGCAAATTAATACATAGTCAATAAACGGAATTCAGAGAAACATCTCAGATAAATACATATGTTTTTTAGATTATTATTTAGTAATAAACAATTTGAATGCAATAATATTTTTAAAGAATCAATTATTGAAAATCAAATAGCTATTATTTGCCCTATCTCTTATAAAAAATTTTTACCCCTTTAAAAATAAAAAATACTCGCCATCATCCCCTCCTCCCCACCATCCCCTCCTCCCCATCATCCCCTCCTCCCCATCATCCCCTCCTCCTCAACCCATCTAATGCGATTAAAGAGAAGCATGTATTTCGACATATGCGAGCGTGTCTTAGAGAATCGCGTCTTAAATACATATGCGTGTTTTCTTGTCGGCTTAAAATCCATCCTAAACAAAGTTTTAGTATAAACAAGAGGTCAATTTGGAAAATTTTTTTAACATTTTTAGAAAATCCACAAAGATGAACTCCTTTTAATGTTTGTTTAAATTAGTAGCTAAAACATTTATTTTAAAATTGCAAATTATTTCAGCGCATAAAGTCTCCGCATAAAATTGTCAGTTTCTGAGACAACGTAGTATCGCCGCATTTCCTGATTGCTAAATTTCCCTATTTTCATGCATAAAAAGGAGGATTTTGACCTCTGGTATTCTTAAAATTTAAAAATTTTCGCCTGCGGTGCATGAAAGCATGTTTTAAATAAAATAATGTCCAAGAAACGAGGAAATCAGAATTAATTTAACAGAATAGAAATTAACTTTAAGCTTCTAAAATAATGCCCTATTTTTGCCCTTTTTCCCGATTTCATCTATTTTTGCCACATTTTTAAGTTGCTGCGACCTTTTTATTGTTTTGGAAACAACAACCCTGATGGTCAGTGTTAAAAAACTGAAAATCTATCTTACACAAAACCTATATCTTTAAACTTTTGTTTATTATAATACTATCTCAAACCTTTTATGGAGGATTCTTTTTTTAAATAAAAATTTATAAGGATGATGCAATATTCTATCCAATCCATAACATATAGCAAGACTCACTGCCCTCTCAAGCTTTCGCAATGCCTTAAGATTTATTAAAAGGGCAATGTCCTTATTTTTGTATCCATTTACAAAGAACCAGGCCAAAATAAGTTGTACAAACTACAAATAAAGAAAAATCGAAATTTCGAAAACGGTTAAGTCTGATTAAATAATTGAAATTTGAAAATGTATTTCGAAATTTAGTTTTTTGCTTGTATATTATAAGTCTTGGAAGAGTTTTAGCCAAGAATGTCGGTGCGTTCGGCAGAAGTAATTGGGCAGTGAGAGATTTGCTAAGTAAACATTTTGTAAAACTTTTTTCGTGAAAATTAATTCGAATAACAATAGAAAATAGTAAATTATAAAAAGCACAAATTATATTATTTAAAACGAATATTTATAAAAATGGCAAAAAATAAAATAAATGAAGAAGGATGGTAGATTTCAATTGAAAATTCTTACATATTTAATATCATATCTAGATCTGATTTTCTGAGTAAATAACTAATATCCAGGTCTAATCACGGCAAGCACTAAGAATTAAGTTAAAAGCAAATAATAGGAACAGACTCACCGCAAATAAGAAAACTCGAAAATATATTTCCCTAATTTCTCCAAAATTGCGAATTAAAAATAAAATCGAAATTTCGAAACTGGCTTCCTCATAAAGTAATATAGCAAACGAGTGTTTAAAAAGGCTGTCTTATTCTACATATTAATTCATAAATTGGCAATTTTTATTTTGAAAATCTTAAATTCTCTTTAAAATTAAATTTTAAGAAATTGTCTAAGTTAGCTCAGTGCCAAAGCTCCTGTATGTGGTGAGCGAAAGCGCCTGGCAATAATTACGAGGAGGTCGCAGATTCAAATTTTGCCCGGTGCTAAACTTTTGCTAAACTCTTCATTCAGATAAATTGAGTGGTAAAATAAAATATTATTTTATCATCAATATCTTCTAAATTATTGGAAAATTTCCTTACCTTATTTGGGAGATGGAAGCTGGCACGGCTTGAAATAGGATGTAAAAATTAAAATAGCCCATCTTCGGTGTGGATGACAGATCGTTTTCAGCTCCTTTCAAGATGGGGTTTCGATGTTGATGGATCTCCCATCAATTCCACCAAGTCTTTTATCATGTTAAGCTACATAAAAATTCATTATTTCAAAGATTTAATAGATATATACTAGAAAGTAACTTAATAGGCCGCCCGCAACAGATAATGCCATAAACAGCGTTGCGCTTTTTATTTTATGTATCAATGTAGGCAAACAATGTATTTATGTCATTAATATATTTATATTTAAAGAATGAAACAAACAATTTGTTTTATTTTTCTAATCTTAATTTGTTTTTTATTTGATTTGAATTATTGTCGGAATTTGAAAGGAAACAAACGAGGAAAAATGTTTAAAAGTCAAAATATAACAAAATATGCCACAAATCAGTTGTGTAAAAAATATTGTAAACGAAGGATTGTAAATGGAGTAATTCAAGATATGAAACAAACTAGTAATGGAAATGAGGTAAAAGATATTGGCCTATCTATACTTTTCGGGGGGGGGGATTCAGATTTAAGCATTTATATTCAGATTTAGGCATTTTATATTTTCTTTAAAGAATATTGAAAACAATTTGAAACGTAGTAAACGTTCAACCCAAGGAGAATTGAAGCCTAAGAAGAAGAAGAGTTGGTTTGAAAACTTTTGTTTATGTGGTGGTTTGTTCTATTTAATTTTTAAAATTTTATGAATATTTTTCAATTAAAATTTGAAAATTGAAATCATGGCGCTTTTTTGATATTTTTTGCTTAAAAAATTAAAAAAAATTGTAACGGGTTTTACTCATAAAAATCAAGATCTGTGTAGATTTTCCACGAGTTAAGTATTTTCCGGAATATTATATTAAAAATAACAGAAAAAGCTTATCATTTTAAATGTAATTTCTATTTGATCGTACAAGCAATTTTCTCAAAGACACACATATCTTAAAAATTATTTAAGTTTAAATTATTAAAAAATTATAAATTAAAGGAGATGGAGAAACAAATCTTGAGGAAATATTGAAAGGACTTCAAAGCACTGATCCAAAGAAAAAAATAAAAGCATATAACAAACTTCGAAAAATGGATGGTGAAGAAATAGTAGAACAGCTTAAAGCTCTTGGTCTTTACGAACAAACATTAGGACCTCAAACGCACGGTTCCAACGATGATGATTTAGCCCAAGCAATTCTACAGTCTCTTGCAGAAAGCAATCAACCGATAATAATTAGAGGCTCTTTATATTTATTTAAAACTTTATTTATAATTTATTAAGATACTCCACGTGAAAATCCATCAACAAGTTCTCAAATTCAACATCCACAGCCAGTTGGAAAAGGAAAAGGGATAGCCGAAGGTGTAAAAGAATCATCATCTTCTGAGGATGATAATATAGTATATAATCGTAGAACTGGTCAGGGTAGTAGTCATTGGCAAGAGAATTAAGTTTGAAACCGCATATGAATGTTGGTTCAAGAAGAGCGATATGTTTTCAAACATCTATAGAGACTTCCAAGACCGAAAATTTTACATGATCCAAGACGAAGACTTTTCCCATGACATAATCAAAATTAGGAAAAAATACTAAAATTTTGGCACCGGAGTCGCCTAAATATCGATTTTAGCGCAGTAGGCGAACATTTTTAGAATTTTAGACGCCTGAAATGCATCTAATTAAAAATTAACAAATTTTAATAAACTAATTTCTCAACAATTTTATTTTCAACGAAGAGCACTTATTTAGGTCTGAAATAAGTCACTTATTTAGGTCTTAGGGTCTGAACCTTTATTGTCAAAGGGATGAACCTAACACACTACCAAGAGCATTTGAGAGTAAAGCTTATTAGTATCAATCTTCCTTTTCTCCACACGCCTATAATCTTTTACTTCACTATTTTATTTCAGCGATATTTAGGGGCTTATTTTTTAGAAGCTTAAAAAAGTTACCACCAAGACTTCGTTACAATCTCAAGACAGAAAAAACCCCAATAAAAGTTTTGAGTTTAGTCTTAAGACAAAGGGTCTTGGAAGTCTCTACTATAGTGTTAAAATTATTTTCGTAGTTAAAATTATCTTAGTAAAATTATTTTGCCTTACTTGCATTGTTTGACTATTGCATAGCTTTTTATATACAGGGTGAGTAGTTAACCCAACCCACGAGTCGTGGGGGCAGAGGGGTCCGTGAAATTAATCCCTAATTAATTCCATGTAATTAGTCCACTAATTAAACATAACCTAAAGGTTTAGGAACATACGGTACTATCCAAAAGGGTCTTATCAAAGATAACTGATTTATGAAAATGGACCAGCAAAATTAATCCTTAATTAATTCCATATAATTAGTACAATACTTAAAGTTATCCTGAAGGTTTAGGAGCATCCGGTACCAAGGTCTTATCAGAGATAACTGATATAAGAAAAATGCCCGTGAAATTAATTAAAAATATGTACATGTAATTACTTCCTAATTTTCCCTGTAATTAGTACATTAATTAGAGACATCCGGTACCAATCCAGTGATCCCGTCAAACCAAAAAGTCCCTTTCCCCAAAAATTAAAAATATTTATTTCCTCTTTTCCTTTTTTTTCGCGCAGCGTGCGAAAAAAAAAACTCCAAAAATTTTCCAAAAATTTTCCAGAGGTTGAATTTAATATCACCTCTAGCGGGATCACAATTTCCAGTCCGCGCTTTAATACACTTCGCTTTATCCCCTATGAACAGGGTGGAAAGTGTCGTACATGTAAAAGTACAGAAGTTGAACTAGATTTAATAATAGTCAAAGAAGGAGTGGTGGTCTATTGCACGCGATTTGAAGGAAGTCGTTTTGCTCCATTTGATACATTCTTCGATTTACCTGGACATTGTTTTTTTTTCCATTAAAACATTTTTCCTGTTTTTTATAGGTCGGAGATTACCTAGAAATTTTTTAACAAAAGAATTTTAAAAATTACAAAAGAAAAGTGAAAAGTTTTTAGGTCAAGATGACCTAGGTTCGGATGACCTAGAAATTCAAGAAAAGATTGTAAAAAATACAAAAGAGAAAAGGAAAAGTTTCAGTTGACCCAGAAATTTTTATAAATTCAAATGCGCGCACGCTGCGCGAAAAATACAAAAGAAAAATTTTGGGAAAGAAAAAGGAAATAAATATTTTTAATACATTTTGGGGGAACATGTCCTAAACCTTTTGGTTTGATAGGTTCGGTACCGGATATTCCTAATTAGTGGACTATTAACCATAAATTAATTAAAGGGCAATTACAAGAAATAAGGGTAATTACACAAATGGTAATTTCGTAGCGGAATTTTTTGGTTTGATTTTAATATCTCAAGACTTTTCTATTTGTTGACAAACTTTTAGAATGTCTGCAAGTTATTTCTCAATATAATTTTCCCTTAATCAGATTGTCAGCTTACAAATTAGTTTGACTAGACTTGCACTTTCCTTTGTCGGCAAATATTAATCAATGGGGGAAAGCAAGTGCATGTTTGTTTACATCACTTCATTTTCAAAATTTTAATATAGACAATAATTGTTAGAGAAATTGATCAAAGTTACTTAAAGGATGTCTGTGTAGGGAGAAGGGAATTATTTTAACTTTTTGTATTATCATTCAATATTAATATTTAAAATTTTTCACTAAATTCTGAAAGTTACAAGATTACAATTTTCCCCTGAAGGGGGAGTTGTGTTGGGAAGGATTCTGTTTATTAAACGTTAAATCATTGAATCGAAAGCTTCTTATACTCCTTATTTCAATTCCTTTTTGCCTATGAGAAAAAGAAAGAATTTAATTTTCAATATTTACGTCTCTTTAGATTATCTCGTATTTAACATTTATTCTTTATTTCTTATTCAATTTAAGTATGATGAAACTTTTTACTCTTCTAACTTTTATTTGTATATTATTCTATTTATCTGACTGCATGGATTATGGTTTATACAAACGAATAGATAAACAAATTGCTAAATTTAAAAGAAAAGAAAAATTTTTCGAACAACGTCTGAAAGAGACTCGAAATAAAATAGAAGGTATATGTTATTTACGAGTCTTTTATATTTTAGATGGGTGTTAAAAACAGTATGAACAAAATTTAATACACAGCCAAACTTGAATAACGTCAATTTAAATTTTTTGTTCCATCAGACACTAGGTGACAATTTTTTCGGGGACGGGGACCTATATTTGAGGCGATAATTGTTGTAGATTTCCTTATAATGGTTACACCTTAATTTTAATAAAAAAAGTTTTCAGCTGAGAAAATGTTTAAATTTTTTATCGAAATTTTTATGTTTTTTAAAAGGATTGATTTCTTTGTAAATTAATAAAAATTATTGGATTTAAAAAAAATTAAAAAGAGAAATTTTAAGTGCTTGAAGAATATAAAAGACAAGCTGGGCAAGATCATGGTTTACAAGGACATGGTAGCCAAATTATTGGAAATACTAGTACTGGAGTCCAAAAGAAACAGAAAATGAATATTGGAGTTAGAAAAGGCCATGCTAGATATAAGGAAGGTAAATGTGCTTATCGTTAAAGATCAATTAGCCTGCATAATTTTTCAACATTCATAAAAGCCCTCATAAATTGAAATAAAAATTTTTAATGATTGCTTATCAAATATTTAAGGACCAAATGTTAGTCGAACGACTTTTGAAGAAAATAAACAGCTCTATGGATTTGCAAATATGGCATCTTCTAGTGTGCCTCAAATTGCAGGATATCCACAAGGCTTTAATCTATATGGAGGATATCATCAGCCGACATCTTTTCAATTTGCAGCTCCTCATGAAGGACAATTTAATCAAGGAACATCTCATCATGGAAATTTTGTTAATGGTAATTTAATTTTTTTCCGTTTCAAACTTGTAACTCTTTAAAATATATACACTAATCGAAAGCCTTCGAAATTTGCTACAAGATAGCAATCTTAGAATTTCAATGAAAATTAGAATCAATTCATAGAAAATTTAGGCTTGCCATATATCATTTATGCTATTTATTAGCTAGAGTTTAAACGATTATTGCGTCTAAGATTTTAAAGCCAAAAGTAAATCCATTGGCGAAGACCATAGTTAGAAGGAAATATGCTTTTCATGTAACGATTGTAACCATTAATTTCGAAGAGTATCACTTATTCCGGTCTATGAAAAATCATTTACGTGAAGTTCGATTCCGAAATCATACGGAAATCAAAAATTGGGTAATAAATTTTCAAGAGGCAAAATCAGCTACAACTTTTTATCAAAGAGGAATTCAAAGGATGCCCAGAAAATGCCAAAAAGTAATAGATAATAATGGGCAATACAACGTTTCTTGATTGTTTTTTGATTTTTTGTTATAGTAAATTATTTGGGAACTTATTTACTTTAACTACACACCCCATTTATTCGCAAGAAGGCCATCAATCAAACTTAAATTGTTCAGAAAGGTCAGCCTTTCTTTCTTCCTCGATGTTACTTAATTTTCCCTGTGGCATGTGCAATGAGAGAAATTAATAAGGAAGAGATCAACTTTTCTTTCCAATTTCAACAAAATAAAAGTTAACATTTGAATCAATATTCTTATTTTTGCCGTTTCAGTTATTACCACACGGTTATTCAGGAACATGTCGTGCGAGTCTGTCCGTGTTCGTCCGAGTTTGTCTGTCCGTCCGAGTTTTGTCTGCCAAGTCCGTCCGTGTTTGTCTGTCCAAGTCCGTCCGTGTTTTGTCTGTCCGAGTATTGTCTGTCCGAGTATTGTCTGTCCTCCTCCATTCTTCCTTAAGGCAAACATTATCTTTAAGGAAAATTGACCATTTTTATAAAGTAATAAAAAGTAAGGAAAAAACGATTCGACCTTTCTTTTGGGATAGGGTCGAAAAATTGATCTTTTCCTTATTAATTTCTCTCATTGCACATGCCACAGGGAAAATTAAGTAACATCGAGGAAGAAAGAAAGGCTGACCTTTCTGAACAATTTAAGTTTGATTGATGGCCTTCTTGCGAATAAATGGGGTGTGTAGTTAAAGTAAATAAGTTCCATTATTTGCATTATCCATAAAGGGCTCATTCTTTTTGGGTCAACCCATTAGATAAACTTTCTATAAATCTTAATATATCAATTTAGTTGATCAAGGTGAACAATCTGGAATGCAACCAAATCCTGGTTTATTAATTTGTTATAATTTTTGCGTAAAATGTTATAATTTTAAGAAAGCACTAAACTCAATGTAGTGAATATTCCAACTGATGATGAAAAAACTGAATCCGATAAAGATGCAAACGAATGAAAAA